CTCAACGGTGAATCGGTTTACGTATAATTCGATTACCAAGGGATCGATGTAGGGGAGTGCCACTCTGGCCAAATCTGAATCATCAAAAGTAATGCTCGCAGCTTCATGGGGCCGTTTAGCTGGAGTGAGTTGATTTTGAGGACCGGGATTCGACTGAATCGTATGCACCGCGGATGACATTTGCAGACTGTATATCATGTGGATCACGTCGAGTGGAGGTGAATCTTGTTGTAAGGCTATTGCTTTGGTTGAGTTGCCTTTGCGGACATACTGTTGTAGCCGACCATCTTGCACCAGTTCCTCCAGGTGATCCTTCAATGCATAACAACTCTCAGTATCATGACTGTGATCTTTGTAATACTCGCACTGCCTATCCCGTTTTCTTGTTTCGGGAGGTCCCACCATTTTGGACGGCCACTTGAAAAACGAAAGGTGTTGGATTTTGGACATAACCGCACTGATTAGCTCTGATAACTCTGTGTATTTCTTGTCGGCGCGCCTTGTGCGCCTGCCATCGACTTGCAGTCGTTCATTTGTTCGATGGGGGCATTGGTCGCTCGATCGGCGAGAATCCCGTCTCTTGTCCCGTTTAGCCCGATGCCGTGGTTCGGGGCTCTAAGGTGGTGCGGAATTTATCGGCTGAGCCATTTTAGAAGGGGCCATCTTGTTGGCCACGTTTCCGGCTTTAACACTCAAGGCGTCATCCTCCACTTTGTAGTATTCCTCAACTTTCTTCATCAACGACCAGACTGTTTTGGGGGGCCTTCTAGTCAAGGAGCTGCGGAGAGCACTGTCAGGATGCAAACCCATTTTGAAGGCGGTGATGGCCATGGAGTCGTTGCAAGCGTCATCAATAAGATTAAAGCACTCCCAGTAGCGTGCCGAATACGCTCTTAGTGTTTCTCCTAGCTGGATCTGCATTGCCCAGAGAGAGTCGGCTTGTTTCGGCTGGACCTCGTTGTTGATGAATCTGGCCCTGAAGGATTTCTGTAATTGATGGAAGCTCTTGATCGAAGCCGACTCCAGTTTATAATACCACCTGACAACCAATGGTCCCAAACTGCTGGGAAATATTCGGCACATGAGGGCCTCATCGTCTGCATGCAATGTCATCGCTTACGTGTAGTGACGGATATGATCGGTGGGGTCTGATTTTCCATTATAGAGAGTGAACGACAGAGCTTTGAACTTTTTGGACAAGACCACCCTTGCGATCTGTCATACAAAGGGATCGTGCTGGTCTTCTTCGTCTGAGCTGTTTCTTCTTCGTTTATGCCTTATACGTACACTCTCTTCAGAAGAACTGGTAACTTTGAGTCGACCCTTCTTTTTAGGCTCCGGGGATAGTGTGTTAAAGTCGCTGTCAGTATCTTGTTGTCGGGCTCGAGGTCGTCGACCACCCGCCCTCAGAGGTCACTCCGGATCTTAGCGTACAACTTGTTTGGACTTCGCTACTTCCAAGGCCAAATCCTGGCGGAGACGTTCGTTCTCAGCGATCATGTTCTCCAACCTCTGTTCGTTTTTCTTTGCTTGCTCCATAATCGCTTGCATTGCCTCTTGTGCTGATGTCGAAGGTGAACCGAAGTTCAAGGCCCTTCTTGCGGTAATATTCTCTGGCCCAAGCATATTGCTTGGAGTGGTCTTATCTTGCGGTGTAGGGCCGATAGTGACTGCCGGAGGATCTTCCGTCACGCCCGTCATGGATGTGCTTGAGTATTCCCACAAACGGCGCCAATTGTGGAGAAGTGGTTTGGAAATACTCTTCCGGTCCTGGGGGACGCTTGTGATCCTCAGCTAGTCACCTGAAAAGGAATGAACACTCTGGTCGGGGGTGCCGGAATTAGCACTCCGACGGATAAGTCAATGTATACTCTCTTGATTACTTGTATCTTAAGTTAAGTTCACTAGTTCTCACATGCCTTTCTCTAACTGATGATCCCGTATTTATAGTGTTCTCTTTGGGTCTTAGGGCCAAGCTCATCCTTGATCCTTTACATGTACTTCTACTCGGCCTTTGTTCTACTAGCTGGAGTGCCGGTTATTTTATTCGGCTCTTCGATTGACTAGGATCAATGCCGAATAGAGGTTACGTTTCGGACCGGACGGGTCCATTCGTCCCTATTGATCCAGTTAAATTTGGCTCCCACAGATGTTTATAGGTATGTCTGGATAAGCCAATAAAGAAGTTCCTAAGCATGTTTTACGGAGACACAACCTCTGAATGATATAGAAACATTTATAATGTAGAGTTCCTACTTTCTTTTTGAACATCAGAATGCAGAAAACCAGACACAAAGTGGGAGATGCATGACCAGAACATAAAATAGACCATAAGATAGGGTTATACCAAGAGATGGTAGTAGGTCACTTAGGTATTATCTTTAAATTATATATTTAAATACGTTGTCAATCAAAAAAAGTATTTCAATGAACTTTGTGAAGTTATGGATTTTTGGTTCTCCTCCAATTGAACCCACTGGAGGTCTCCCTCAAAGTGGGAACTTTCTCCTATTTCTTCTATTTTTATTTTGTTATACAAGAAGATTCGTATCATAAGAGGCTGGGGAATATTGACAACCCAATTAGGAGGAAAGGCAGAGAAGTATCTTTCCTCTGATGTTTGAGTTCTGCTTTGAAAGCTATCTTTCCTCTGATGTTGGTTGATGTTATAAAACGATGTCTGCACTATGACACCTGGTTCAAATTCCATCAACCATAAAAAGAAACATTCTACATTATGATCATGTTGATGGTTATGGTGTTTATGATATAAATGGCTTAAGTTTTTCCATAGTGAATAGAATTTTACATTCGTCCTTTTGAATTTGTTGCCTCGGAGTAGAGTCCACTGCATTCAAGCGAGTATTGCGGAGATTGAGCAAAGAATAATTTAGTTGCTAAGGTACAACAACCAATCATATTATTCAAATTTTTTGTTAAGCTTCTGATGAATGAGACCTTTGGTCTTTTTATATTGAAGACTAAGAATCGGTTCCTTACATTTTTAAAATACAGTTAGAATTTTGAAGTTTTGTTCTTTAAAGTTATTGACAACAACTATGTGGGATTCGTCCTTTTGAATTTGTTGCCTCGGAGTAGAATCATTCACTGCATGCATTCAAGGGAGTATTGCGGAGATTGAGGAAGCATTGGAGAATGATTCAGCTGCTAAGGTACCAATCACATTATTCAAATTTCTTGTTAAGCTTCTGATGAACGAGACCTTTGGTGTTTTGTATATGCGTTTGCTTTGAAGACTAAGAATCGGTCTAATGACTATATTTTCCTTACAGTTTCAAAACATAGTTAGAATTTGTAGTTTTTATTCTTTAAAGTTATTGACTATGACTATGTGGAAGTGTTTGGTAGTCGGCAATATTGTATCCTCTTCCTCTATGGTGAATCCTAAACCAGTAAAACCCAATCCAACATTTGAATAGGCTGAGAAATTGATGTCAGTGTGAAACAATTTGGAAATCAGCAATTGAAGAATGAAAGGGGGGGCTATTTCTACAGATCAAGATATTTATGAAAAACCATGAACTCGAAATTTGACTTGCTTTCCAAACAATACTACACTTTATTCATCAGTAAGCTATTCTCTCCATATGGAGTTAGTCAACCTTGCCATCATTCATGTTTAGTAAGCTTTCACTCTCTATGACCACTGGCCACTACATATATATTATTGCTGTTATTTTAATTCAACTACTCTTTTTATATAAGTTTCTGACCAAAGGAGTGCTCCACAATCTAGGAGTGATATTGGCGATACGCTAAAAAAATTAGCTTTACAGATTATAATCAGTACATTCACTACTGATACTACTACTGCCATTTGTTTTGATAAAAATAACATAACATTAAAAGTATTATTCTCACATCATTCTAAATGTATTTTTGTGTAATTTTTTTTTGAAATAATAGACTTCTTCTCTGATTTATATGTCTTGCTAAGAATACATAATCGGTGCATAGGAGAGAGGAGGGTGTGGGTCCACAGTTACCTTCCTCCCTACTTCATTCACTTTTGTGTTTCTAATTCTTTTTTAGCATTATTATTAGTATTATTATAGTTTCTTCGAGAGGAGTTTATTTTCACACAAAAGATGCTTTGTTTGAGGTGGGTGAAAGAAAAAAAAAGAAAAAAAAATGTCAACTCTCCAAATACTACAGTCCAAATACTACAGATGGGGAATTCAAGATTTGATTCATTTGCTTGCAGCTTTGGGTAGTGGATATATGAAAGTCAAAAGTCAAACTTGTTGATATATTAATTGTAGCTGTTAGCTGTTAGATGAAGAAGTTTAGTCAACTCTTTGGATAGCTGTAAAGGATTGAAGGAGAGCACTACACAGGTTGCTTCCATGTTCAGTTCCTTTACAAGTGCTTGTAAAAAGGGAACGTGTTAGAATCCTAAAAACGTTTTACATTTTCAAAGCCAAAGTGGAATGAGCAACACTACGCACAGAGAAAATGGGTCCACAGGTTTGTGAGTGCCTGTGTCCGGTTTTGTGTTAGGTTGTGAGAGTCTGGTTTTATGTCCTGTTTCTCGACTTGTGAGTGTCTGAGTCCGTTTCTGCGTTTGAGGCATTAATAAGTGGGGGGATTGGACATAATGAAATCCACTTGCCAAAAAGTACACCTACTTCTATTTGTTCAAACTAGGTTTAATTTAGGTGAAATTTGACATGTCCAAAAAAAGTCAAAAATTTAAAAAGTTACTCAAAAAATTAAAATGTTAACACTATTTACCAAAAGTCAACAATTACGGTTGCACAACTCCAAATCCTAATTTTCTCCTACAAATCAATTTTTATAATTTTTTATTACACATTTTTTCATAAAAAATCAAAAAGTTAACCCAAGCATCTATATTTTTTTCCTCAATTTTTTAATCTAAAAAAATAAAAAATATACTTATTTAGGACACCCAAAACAACCCCTTAAGCGCACCCAAATAGACTACATTTTTTTGTCTGCGTCTTTTGTTTAATCACATCATCATTATCATCATCAGTATCACATCTCTCTCTCTCTCTCTCTCTCTCTCTCTCTCTTATAAGGGAGTGAACCATTTTATTGTTTTCCTGTAACACGAAAAGTTGAACAAAACTAGGCAGGCATGACTGCAATTCAAAAGCCATGTATTCTTCTTTTTCTTATTCTCTTCCTCGTCTGTCTTCCATTAGAGATCAAGTCATCAGCAGCAACACAAGCAGAAGCTCTAGTCAAATGGAGGAACAGCTTATCACCATCTTCTTCTTCTCTCAATTCATGGTCTCTGACCAACCTCAAAAACCTCTGCAACTGGACTGGCATTCTCTGCAATTCTGCTGGAGCAATCACCAACATAAACCTCTCCAATTCAAATCTTGCTGGAACACTTGAAAATTTCAGTTTCACTTCATTCCCAAATCTCACCCATCTCAACTTCAACAACAACAGCCTCACCGGATCAATACCAACCTCCATTGGCAACCTCTCTAGGCTCAGTTTCTTGGATTTGAGCAACAACCTTTTCTACAACTTGATTCCTTTGGAGATTGGAACGTTGACAGAGCTTCAATACCTTAGTTTCCTCAACAACAACCTCAATGGTACTATTCCACATCAAATTAGTAGTCTCCAAAAGGTATGGTACTTGGACCTTGGATCAAACTACTTAACAACCCCAGACTGGTCTCTGTTTTTAGGTTTGCCTATGTTGACTTACCTTAGCTTTTCTTACAATGAACTCACTTTGGAATTCCCAGATTTCATACCCAAATGCTTGAACTTGACATACCTTGACTTGTCATTAAACCTTTTCACTGGCCTAATTCCTGAATCAGTGTTCACCAATTTGGGCAAGCTTGAATATCTCAACCTCACTGCTAATTCATTTGAAGGGCCTTTGTCATTGAATTTTTCCAATCTTTCCAGGCTCAAAGATCTTCGCCTGGGAACAAACATTTTCACCGGTCCAATTCTTGATAACATCGGTTTATTATCTGATCTTCAAGTCATTGAACTTTATAATAATTCATTTGAAGGAAAAATTCCTTCTTCCATAGGCCAACTTAGGAAGCTTCAAGAGCTTGATCTTCACATGAACTGCTTGAATTCTACAATTCCTTTTGAGCTTGGCCTCTGTACTAATCTGACCTTCTTAGCTCTAGCCTTGAATTCGTTTGAGGGGGAATTGCCTTCATCCTTGTCAAACTTGAACATGATAGCTGAATTGGGTTTATCTGATAACTTTCTTTCTGGTGAGATTTCACCTTATTTCATCTCCAATTGGACCCAACTGACTTCTTTGCAGCTTCAGAACAATTCTTTCACCGGAAAAATTCCATCTGAAATCGGCCTATTGACACAGCTCAATTACCTTTTTCTTTACACTAATCAGCTCTCTGGCTTAATCCCACCAGAGATTGGAAACTTGAAAGTGTTGACGGGTCTAGACCTATCAAGAAACCAGCACTTCGGTCCAATTCCTCGGACAATTGGGAATCTTAAAAACCTTGCTGTCTTGCATCTCTTTTCCAACAATCTTAGCGGAACAATTCCTCCAGAAATTGGAAATCTGAGTTCATTGCAATCTCTTGATCTCAACACCAACCAATTGAGTGGGAAGTTTCCTAATACACTATCTAGCCTTACTAAGCTACAAGCACTCTCTCTCTACACCAATAATTTCTCCGGAAGCATCCCTGGAGACTTTGGGAAGAACAGTCTCTTGTTGTCGAATGTTAGCTTTTCTGACAACGGCTTCTCCGGAGAACTACCACCGGGATTGTGCAATGGTCTTGCTCTCGAGGAATTGACAGTGAATGGCAACAATTTCACTGGGCCATTGCCGGAATGCTTGAAGAACTGCTCTTCACTAACTAGAGTCCGGCTTGAAGGAAACCAATTGTCCGGTAACATTTCAAATGCATTCGGAGTCCACCCAAATCTTTATTTTATCTCTCTCAGTGGCAATCAGTTTTCCGGTGAACTCTCACCAGAGTGGGGAGAATGCAAAAATCTCTCAAATGTGCAAATGGATGGAAACAAGATTTCTGGTTCAATCCCGGCTCAGCTAGGCAACTTGACCCGGTTGGGAATCCTAAACCTTGGCTCAAATGGATTGACAGGTAAAATTCCCGCTGAATTGGGGAATTTACACCTTCTGCTCAAGCTCAATCTTAGCAACAATGGTTTATCAGGAGATATCCCTCAGAATATAGGTGACTTAGCAAACCTGCAAGATCTTGATTTGTCGACAAACAAGTTGACAGGGAATATTCCGAAAGAACTTGGCAACTGTGAGAGCTTATTGAGCTTGAATTTAAGCAACAATGCTCTATCTGGGGACATACCATTTGAGCTCGGAAACTTACTAGAATTGCGCTATATTTTCGATCTCAGTAGCAATTCATTATCAGGAACAATTCCACCTAACTTGGGAAAGCTTACTTCACTGGAGAATTTGAATTTATCTCATAACAATCTCACAGGAAATATTCCTTCAGCCTTGTCTGGCATGATTAGTTTGCAGTCTATTGATTTTGCCTACAATGAGTTGTCCGGTCCAATCCCTGCTGGCAACATTTTCCAACAAGCACCAGCAAATGCTTTCATTGGAAATTTAGGTTTGTGTGGAAGTGCAGAAGGATTATCCCAATGTAATTCAACTAAGCCAAGTGGGAAATCGCATAGGCTCACTAAAAAGGTTCTTATCCGTGTCATTGTCCCGGTTATCAGCTTGTTTTTGGCAATTATCATTGCTGGATGCCTCGTCCTTCACAAGCAATCCAGGCAACGTGATGAAGAGACTCAAAGCACCGAGGCATATCAAAATTCGGAGTCACTGATTTGGGAAAGAGAAGGAAAATTCACATTTGGAGATATCATGAGAGCCACCGAGGACTTCAATGAGAAGTACTGCATTGGAAGAGGAGGGTTTGGAAGTGTTTACAAAGCGTTGTTGCCCATGGGCCAAACAGTAGCAGTTAAAAGGCTCAACGTGTCAGATTCTAACGACATTCCATTGATGAATCGTCAAAGTTTTGAGAATGAGATTCGGACTTTAACAGAAGTTAGGCACCGGAACATCATTAAGCTTTACGGTTTCTGCTCTAAGCAGGAAAGCATGTACTTGGTTTATGAATATGTAGAGAGAGGTAGTTTAGGCAAAGTGTTGTACAGTGATGAGGGTGCAGGGGAACTAGGGTGGGGCACAAGAGTGAAAATTGTTCAAGGAGTGGCTCATTCACTTGCATACTTGCATCATGATTGCTCTCCTCCTATTGTCCATCGGGATGTATCAGCAAACAACATTTTGCTCGAATCAGGCCTCGAGCCACGCCTCTCAGATTTCGGAACAGCGAGGCTGTTGACCCCAGGTTCATCTAACTGGACCACGGTTGCAGGGTCTTATGGCTACATGGCTCCAGGCAAGCTTATTTAATTTCAATTTATACATCTTTTGTTAAGTCCCTTTCAATCTAGTTTGTAATTTACATTTTGCTAATTGTGCAGAGCTAGCATTTACTATGAGGGTCACAGAGAAATGTGATGTTTATAGCTTTGGAGTGGTTGCGCTGGAAGTTATGATGGGGAAGCATCCTGGGGAACTCTTAACTACCATATCAACGTCGTCATCATCACCGTCATTGGCCAACGATCAAGATTTGTTTTTGAAGGACGTGCTTGATCAGCGACTCTTGCCTCCCACCGGCCAATTGGCAGATGGAGTGGTGTTTATTGTATCGGTGGCCTTGGCCTGCACGCGAGCTGCACCGGAGACACGACCTGACATGCGATTCGTTGCACAGGAACTGTCTGCTCAAATTCAGGCATGCGTGTCTGAGTTTGGCACAATGAAGATGAGCGAGATAGCAAGCCTTCAGAAGTAGCAGATATCAGAGCTCGATATGTACAACTAAACAAAATTCTAGGTTAATGCCTAGTTTAGATAAAAAATGATAGTGTTAATGTAAATTGTGTAAATGTAAATTACCACTACCACTCACTCCACCTACCACCTCCACTACCACCCACTCCACCTACCACCTACACCTACACCTACACCTACTCCTCACCTACTCCCAAATCCTCTCCTATATAATAGGAATCCTTGTAATATACATAATACACAAATCAATCAATAATAACATCAATACATAATTCATTCTCTCTATATCTCTCTCTATCAATTTATCTTACATGGTATCAGAGCTATAAGATTTAGGCTTGTATTTTTTTCTCACCGGCGGGCAGCCGGCCGGCAATCTTGCCTTCGCTGCCCGCTGGAATTTTTTTTTTTTACATCAAAGGTGTTCATATCCTGATATTTCCATACCCAGCTCAAGGCCACATGTTACCCATGCTGGACCTAACCCACCAACTAGCCCTCCGTGGCATCACCATAACCATTCTGGTGACACCAAAGAACCTCCCAATCCTGCACCCTCTCCTCTCAACCCACCACCCATCTTCAATCCAGACCCTGGTCCTTCCCTTCCCATCACACCCGTCTCTCCCCTCTGGCGTCGAGAACATCAAGGACATCGGCCACGCAGGCAACTTACCCATGATCAACGCCCTCGGCCAGCTTCACGATCCAATAATCCACTGGTTCAAGTCCCACCCATCACCCCCTGTGGCTATCCTCTCTGCTTTCTTCCTTGGTTGGACCCTCCACCTTGCCCACCAACTTGGTATCCCCAGGATCGTTTTTCACTCACTTGGAACCTCAGATCGGTCTTGCAGTCCTGCGCGATCTCACGCACGAGCCTCTGGAATGGAAGCTTCCGGATCAAGAGCTCTGTGCTCTTCTGGTACTTTCGCATCTCGCGCAGCGCCACTGTGCCGGGACGGAAACGGTGGGGCTTCTTCACTCCGCCGGTGGCCGGCGCCGACTTCCTGGCGGCCTTGGTGGCGAGCTGCTTCCTCGGAGCCTTGCCTCCGGTGGACTTCCGTGCTGTTTGCTTGGTACGAGCCATTGATAATAGCAAAGTTCAAAGAGAGAGAGATGCAAGTGTGTAGATGTAGAGGCAGTATATGTGATCCTTCCACTTCACACCCATTTTTCTTTTCTTTATTTAACCACACACACACGCACCCCACTTCTTCTCTCTCTCTATCTCTCTGCGCCCCTCGTCCAGACCCCATTCTGCTTTCTTGATTCTCTCACACACTTTCTTTATTTATTTCTTTTCCTAACTTTCACTTTCTGCTTCCCACCCTCCCCCACTTTCTTTCTTTTTTATATATCTATTATCTCTCTTTTTATTCTACTATATTCCCCCACACACTTCTCTTTCACTTTCAAAAACATAAAAAAAAAAAAAAAAAACAAAAACAAAAGTCAGTATTATAGTATGATATCTTTTATTGGGCAGACCTATGCACATGGGCACACACTCCACACACAACTCAGATACACCCTTATCTCTGTTGATCCCACTTTTCCCCATTTTATTTCTTTTCTTTTATTTTATTTTATTTCTTTATTTATTTTATTTATTTATTTTTT